AGGATTGCCAGTGATCAGGAGCATTTGTTTGGGGGCCTACTGCTAGCATTAAGCATCTGGCATTGAAGAAAGCATTCTGGACTTGCAATATGATGCCACGCTTCTGGATTAAGCTGCAGTATTTAAATGTAGGCTGGCTATGGTCTCTGAACATGCTGAATCTGAAACTGCAACACTCTGTCCAGGTAAACGGGAAATCATTCTGCTGTTAAACCAAATTATGGTTTGGTGGGCAAAGGCTTCGGTCAGATTAAAAGAAACGTATACTTAGGCAAAATTTAAATGCCTTGTTAAGGCTTTATTCCTCCACAGAGATGAATCTAGTTCAGGCTCAACTCAGTACTCTTCATCTCTACTTCATGAACAGCTTGTGTGCATTTATTTACTGACTGTTATGTGAAGTGTAGAATAAGGAGATCATGATAATGGCACACTGCTTGGTTTTGAAATAGTGACGTCTCGATCTTTCTCAAGTGTTAGATGAGAGGAGCCAGACTGTTACTGTTCTTTATAGGAGACTTGCTCGAGGTTTTGCTCCAAAACTTGTGCAGGAAAACTTTGGGAGATGGCATAAATGCTGATAGTTGCACAATGAACTTCACATCAAGTCTCACTGCACTTTGATCTTCCAATATGTGTATATTATAACTGGAATTCTGAACTTTGTAACACTAGAAGAATAATGGATGATGCTAAATACAAATTTGCCTCATTGTTTAATGTCTGTTGCTGCCATGTTCCAACAGAATGCCCCAGGTAACACAACTGGTGTGCAACACCAGTTCCTAACACAAATGGTGCATCTCTAGTGTAACTCGTTTTGTGTACTGCCTTTTAGGCTTGTTCCAGACGGATGAGAGACCAAAAATATGGTGTCTAAAGCATTTAACTGCAAATTACAGCTTGGTTTTTAGTAAGCAAAATAGATCATGGACAACATAGTACTTCTAGTCTATCACTTTCTGGTGTTTGAAGATATCATTGACTGTGCGTCTTGACTAATGAAAGATAACTTTAACAGAATGGTAGAAAGGGGGAGAGCGTCAAGTCTTGACTATGGGGTGTCCCACGATAACACGTGAACCTTCTTCCTTGTTTGGAACTGCAGTGCTGTCAAGTAGTAAGTGTGTGCCTAGAAGACTGAGAGTGCTAGAAGAGTTTTCTTCCAAGGCCGCAGCCCATGGACTCCTGCTTAATAGGAAGACTGTACAACATGTAATTGCTAAAGCATTTAAACCTCACTGTTTTCAGTGACTTCCCTGATGGAAGGGGCAAGGGAAGAGGGAGCTCAGCTCTAACAGAGTAAGCAGCCTTCTAAAGTAATGATGAAAAAATGCAATCTGAAACTTCATCTTAACTAAATGCAAGCTTAAGACTGGCTTGTTACCTTTTGGAAGGTGGGGGTATGCTTTGTGACTGCCTAAAACTCAGATCTGGAGAATCATACTTGATGTTTCTACCTTGCCATATACAGCCAGTACTATACCAGCTTTATTCTTCTCACTGAAGTCTGCAAGGAAAGTTAAGGCTATTGATAGAGACTAATGTACAGCCTGAAGTGTTCATTATGTGCAAAGTAACTAAATCTGGTAAATTCAATCAACTTAAAGTGCCTTAGAGTTTCCTTACAGCCAACTCTAAACAGCTTTCTGCCAGAGTTAAAGGGGAAAAACTTGCAACTTGAACCAAAACCCTAATTTAGTTCTCTTCTAGTCATTACTTCAACTAGAGATGTTGATTGCACCAACCCCAGTTGGTGGGGCTTGGTCCCTTAAATGCTCTGTTGGGATTGGCCTGAGATCTCAGGCTTCTGGGATTCTTTGGGGGTTCTGCTGGCAGTGCCCCAGTGCCTCCACTCCAGTTTAGACCTAGCACTTGATAATGTAGTGACGGTCCACACATTTCTAACTTCATAAACAAAGGCACTTCCTTTTTTTGTAGCATACCTACAGTTGTGACCAAAACACCCACCCCTCTTGCCCCTGCTGTCCTCGAGCACTGTCTATCACTTTGGAACAAGTATGCCAAGTATCCCTCAAGAGGGCATAAGGAAAATAAACTAGCTTCCTGTCCCTGGAAAGCGATGCTGTCAAACCAGGCTCCAGGCATTTCAACAGGGCTGCATGGAAAGTCTGTGGTAGTTCATACTGTAGCTACTTGTTCTCAAACTGGATTCCTTGGGCTTTAGTCATCCAGCACTCTTACACAAGCACAAAACGTGGTCTGGCTTCAAATCTATTTCACTTTTTTGACAAAGGTGTAATCACAGTTTCACACCACTAAGTAGAGTGAAAAAATGTTGGTGTTAAAGGTACTAACAGAGCATTACAAGTTGCTTGCTAAAAGCTGACAGATGCCTTAATGACTTCCTGTTTTGGAGATTGATGGCTTGTATAACTTCTCACATAGTGCATATAAGTTAACATATAACAAAATGGGAGGCCAAGGCTGGATCTCTGTAGATCAAATGTAGCAAGAGGCAAGTCTCAATTTATTTAACAGCAGGGTTGGATACTGCAGCAAACTTACCTTTACAGAATCAAAGCTTGTTATGAGTGATAAATAACTCTGAACCGTCTAATACCTTATGTGAAATAGAAAAGGAAGTCTTAGAACGATGACACTTTATCTACAATGTTTGTCTGGAGTCATTGTAAAAAATGTATTTTTCCAATATGCGTTACTTTGTGTAATGATTATAATTGTAATAAAATGCATAACTAGATAATGCATGGTGATGTGAAAACACTGTTACAGAAGAATCTTCAGTTGCCTAAGACAGCTGCCCTTTCCCCAAACTCTCATCATGAAGGCTTAAAAGCCATGAAGAAAATTAGGGTTGTAGTAGTCAATGGGTCAATGTCAAGTTTCAGCTTACTTTGAGTATCTAGAATAATGGTAGAACAAAGTAAAGTTTCTATAGAACTGCTCCAAGCGTTCTTTTAGCTAACAAGCTCTAGTGCATCTGTTAGTTTACATCATAAAATCAGCTTAAATGTCTTGCACGGGACTTATCTATAATCACTTGTATAAAACAACCCTAACTTTCTACCAGCCAGAGCTAGGCCAAGATCTAAATCATGTCTCAGCTCAGATGTACTTAAATTGACAAGCTGAGCTGAGTTCACTCAAAACAACATATGACCTTGCATTGTCACATAGTAGCAGGTACTCTCCCCTTTAGCAGCGTATATAACGACTGCAGCTTTACTTCAAAGAAAGAAAAGTTTCAGTACAAAGGCAAAACCAGCCAAAAGCATTTTGGTAGGATTGTGATGCGTAAGGTTTATTAAAACCTTAAATAAGGCTAAGAGATTGAAGTGTGACTATCACTGGAGCAGTGTCTCTCTCTCTCTTTTCTTAGCTTGATGCTTGTAAAAACGTTCCTTCCCCTCCTTTTTCCCTCTGCCCCCCATGCCAGGGAGAATTTAACTTAGCTTTTGAATTAGGACAGTAAAAATAAGACAACCTTGGAACAGAGTAAGGGAGTCTCCATGTTTGCTTTAACAGATGACTTTTTCCTGGTGTTAAGAATGAAACTTTAAAGTTTGGGGTTTTTTTATTTCCAGACACTAAACTGAGGAATAAGTTGTAAATTTCTCAGTGTTTTTAACTCAAAGCCAACAAGTGACTTTCCAAAATCGGTTTTACCTTCCTGTAGCACCATACTTGGTTTTATGTGGCTCTTAAGATGTCAAAACCATCCCATCAGCGTTTCAACACCATTTGCAGTAGGAAGAGC